ATCCATTGGATTAATCAAACTTAGGATTGGAGAACGTCAAGGAGAGTGGGGTGGGTTAAAATAAATATTGAGCCTTATATCCTTTGTTTCCTAAACCACAAACCAAGGCCACGTTACAATCTTCAAAAGTCTTAATTGAAGCAAAGTTAACTATGAAAGCATACTCGACAAAATTTTTGTTAAACTGACTTCTATGTTTGTTAAAATTATTGCTGACCACTTCGCTTCTTTGAACCTCCATCTCTAATCATCCATTTCTGTTCCATAATAAACTTCGATTTCAAAACTTGCATGTACATCAAACATAATTACTTTTCAAAATGTAGAATTTTATCTACGAGTAGACACTTAGCATCAAAGGAGATCTCAAAATTGGTTTAATCAAAAGCGATCCTTTCCAGGAAGCTCCTAACTAGGGGAAAAGCATCAAAAAAAGAACCCTATAATCATAAGCAAGACTATTAATCGTATGGGAATATCACATGAAGATCCTATTGAATAGGGGTGATCATTCTGAGATTCAATGAACTTGGATCATATTTCAAAGCACCAATCAGGGGCATAACTTTCGAAGGATCATTACTTAATCAAGTCATATCACAACATGGTATGACTCAGTTTCGTCTTTTCAACAAACTTCTCAAGGCCCTAATAATCAGGAGGCAACCATCCAAGACTCAAATGTTGGGGAAGTGCATATCAAGTTCATCTTACGGAATGTAGGGTTCAAGTTCCCCTTCAAGCGACTTTAGAGATAAACTCCGCAAGATTCAAATACTTGGGGTGATTCATATCGAACCTATATTATGGAGATCCAAGAGTACCTCCTCCAAATTCTGGAGATTGAGGGGAATACCTTTCAAGAAACTCAAATATAGGGGCAAACCACTGCAAGGCTCAATCAAGAGAAGTTGATCAGAGATGTTTGTCTTTAAGAGTCCGTTAATCAGGGGAATAGTTCAAGATAGTAGGGTTATTCATGATCAAACTACTTTGGAAATCATGTCAAGAAGAATCTCTCCAAGACCCTACCAACAAATTGGGGCAAGACAGACCACGAAGGGGAAAACTCTCCTCCTACATCGGCAATCTTCAAGTTCAAAACGAGTATCAGGAAATCATGCAAGCACAACACTCTACCACCATATGACAAACAACCTTGTTACATAGGCAACCTCTCTACGTCTTAACCATCTACGATCCCTCACAAGGGCATCCATCAAAATCACGTGAGTCTGCATAAATCATTTATTAGGGCTCTTCGATCCAGAATCAAGCTATACTTATCATCTCATCCATTTGACGAATTCCGACAGCATGGATCGAGCATATCTCAAAAAGCCCAATTACTCATTGTAATTTCAAAATCAAACATCCATTGATACATATCCAAGTCACTCATTACATGCGTCAATCAATCATTACATTTCATGCATCAATCAAAATGTACACGCATAGCATAAAACCATGTTTCATGTGAAGACAATCATCATTGTCAATCAGGTTATATATTCTATGCAAAATCTCGGCTGTTGATCCCCCTGGTTAATCTCAGTAGATGATTTTCCAAAAGACTTCAGTAGAAGGTAGTTCTTAGCAGAATCTCGATAGTAGATTCCCCTGGTGGATCTCGGCAGATGATTTTCCAAAATATCTCGGCAATAGGTAGTTCTTAATTGAATCTCGGCAGTTGATTCCTTGGAAATCTCGATAGTATATTTCTCATTAAGAGCCTCGCATCAATCATGACATACACATAACCATATCAAAGTATCAAGGTCATTCATAACATTTGGTGCATCTAACATACGGAAACACCAAAGAGCATTTGATAAAATATCAAAGTTTATTTTGGTTAGAAAAACGTCAAAAGTGGTCCACGACTACGCCTACGCCTAAGATGAAAATTATCAGCAACACGTTGACACTATTCACTATGATATATCAGAATTCAAATAACCTCGAAGATACCAATATAAACAACAGACAACATTGGGGATTCAATGGCTAAGAAAAAAAAACAATGGTTTAAAAGGAGAGAAATGTCAAGAAATTAAAAAAAAAACATTTGGTGCATGAATATATGAAATATTTGGTGCATATACAAAACATTTAGTGCATATACATTTGTGTTCCATATCAACTTATGGCATTATGCGTCGTGCATGGCATTTTTAAATCTATTTTGGTTAAACTATAGACTTCCTTGGGGCTTATTGTTGAACTAACTTATTTATGAAACAAACAAACACCTTGGTTGAGAACAGACACAACTAGTAAACTTCGATCTTATCTTTGGTTTAGTATCTAAGATTCGATTATCAAAGCACTTTTCAAATATATATCCTCTAGGTTGTGGTAGATATGCAAAAATATATAGTTCATTGTGTCAGTCTCTAAGCGATAATGAATTATCTAGTTTGTGTTATTTATTCTCTAGGCCATGATAAATACACAATCATATCCTCGTATTATTTATCCTCTAGGTTGTGGTAGGTATGTAAAAATCTATAGTTCATTGTGTCAGTCTCTAAGCGATAATGAATTATCAGTTATATGTTATTTATCCTCTAGGTCATGATAAATACACAAGCCTATACTCGTGTTATCTATCTCATATGTTGTGGTAGGTATGCAAAAATCTATAGTTCATTGTGTCAGTCTCTAAGCGATAATAATTATCAGGTTTGTGTTATTTATCCTCTAGATCGTGATAAATACACAAGCCTATACTCGTGTTATCTACCCCCTAAGTTGTGATAGGTATACAAAAATCTATAGTTCATTGAGTCAGTCTCTAAGAAATAATGAATTATCAGGTTTGTGTTATTTATCCTCTAGGTCATGATAAATGCACAAGCCTATGCTCGTGTTATCTGTCCCCTAGGTTGTGGTAGATATGCGAAAATCTATAGTTCATCGTGTAAGTCTCTAAGCAATAATGAATTATCAAATTTATGTTATTTATCCTCTAGGCCGTTATAAATACATAAACCTATATTTGTATTATCTATCCCCTAGGTTGCGATAGGTATGCGAAAATCTGTTTTATAAGCTTGCTATGTTAGTCTTGAAGCATTAGTGAGTCAAATTTTCAAAATTGGTATTATTCACTCTATAACTGCAATATAGCTTGTTACATCAGTCTCAATGCAACAATAAATTATCAATTTTCAACTTATGTATTTGCCTCCTAGGTTATCGTAAATACACAACGTCTGAGATATCTTTTCTAGGTATTGGCGAGTTATCCACGTCTTCGTATCTAGGTCAATCTTACTCTTCAATCATACTCTCTGTTCAAACTCTCGTAGGATGATGCATCATCATCTTTGCCTATTTTTCTGTACTCTTAGAAACGTTGTACATTGTATCCTTATAATCTTTGGTCCAAATTTTAGAGTCTTCCACTATTTAATAACTCTCTGATTTGAATGTGCGAAACTTCGTATACTCACACGCTTCAATCGTAGAGTAATTAAATAGTGATAACTGTCATACCCCAAATTTGCCCGCCTCTGTGCTACAGTCAAAATTATTTTCAAAATTAAGTTTTAAAATTCTTTTGATTCGTTTACACTAACATTCTTTGGTTTTTATAAATATTCATTTTTAAATTATTTTGCTTATTTGAAAATATACATAATAATTTATTTGTATTTTGTAAAATAATAAATACTTGCTCGTCTTCATATACTTTCAATTGAGTTTTTGTTTCAAATAAGCAACATAACACAATTGATAAGGAATAAAACTTGCAAACATAATGTCATGGGTTCGAATCTCACTTGATGCACTTTGAATATTTTTAATTAAATTATTTTATTAATTTTATTAATTTTACTTATTTTCTTATTTTTATTTAATGTACATGTCATTATTTTTAGCATTTGAATTAAATATATTTTTGCATAAAAATTATTAATAAATAATTATTGATTTTTTGTTAAAACTATTTAAGATATTTTTAATAATTATAAAATAATTATTTGTTAATTAAATATTTTCTAAAAAATACTAACCCTATTTTTCTAATTTGCATTAAATTTTTTTCTCTTTCAAACTTATTTTTGGATAATTGCATAGCACATCTAAAACAATTAACCCATCAAATACTAAATTTCTAAGGATAAAAATTATTGATAGCTATTTACTATTTTTTACCGATTACAAAAATAGCATATGAAATGTGCCAAGCATTAGTGAACATGCAATAAATGTAGAGTGAAAGAGAAAGAAGAAGATAAAGTTATTTTCATAATGAAATCTGTTATAATTGGTTATGTTCAATCACACCAATCAACAACGTCTTATCTATTTATATCCAATGAGAAAATAAAGCGTAGAATAACTATCCGCTAAAACTCTAACACGTAACTCTTTTCCTACCCTCTAATAAAACTATCTGGTGTGCTTGCGTTTGATCGGTTTGTAAAGGTTAAAATGAAATAGTGTTCATAAACAAAAATACCCGAGCCTAAAAACGACTTGAATCAATTCAAGTTTTGTCTTGGAATTGGTTAAAGTGTAAGTTACGTGGTTTTAGTTACCCTTTTGTTAACTGGATATCAAATCCAACTGAGTACTTATAAGGTTGATGATATTAAGAGAGTAGGCCAGAACAGTTTCAGATTTCTAATCTCTTAGACTTTGGAGGAGTTCGTTGGAGAAGTTCTATTAATTAATAAGATAATTAAAGTCTATTACATTACGCTATAGCCGTTTCAAGACAAAATTCTACCGATTTTCCGCACCAAATGCAAGCAAAGCAAATGCGATCACTATACTGTTGCTGAGCATGAGGGGAGGATATCAATTTTGTATCTTTGATAATGTCAATCCTTTTCTTCGGACTAGAGGCTGCATTTTTAAAAAATAAAATGTCACATGCTTTTCATTGGTTATTAACATCTTTAATAGTTTTCATTGCAGAGACATTGAATTGAAACTCATATAACTTGAAACCAAAACTTTTTCATTTAAACTACTCAAATTGTGAATCACTCATTTTTAAGTTTATTAAGATCCTTCACCAGCACATCTAACTGTTTATGTGAACTTCCATTTTTCTGAATGGCACCCAATGCAGCATCCCTCAACTCTTGAGCTCTTACCCTCTCCTTCAACCCTCCTAAAGATCCCTTTATTATCTCCACTAGCTCACTTATTTTTGGAACCTTCTTATTCCCTTCTCCGACTCGAACCGCCACACCTAACTGATCCACTAACAGCTTCGCATTCGTATACTGATCCGCACCCATCGGCCACGTCAGCATCACCACACCAGAAACCAACCCTTCTAACACCGAATTCCAACCACAATGAGTCAAGAACGATCCCACTGCACGGTGACTCAGTATCACCAACTGCGGCGCCCATCCCTCGATCACAAACCCTCTCCCTCTCCCTCTCGCCCGTTCGATGAAACCACTCGGTATTACACCGCAATCCTGATCTACATGTCGTTCATCGGGAGCCGTCACAGATAATATGAAATTAACCCCACTTAACTCCAATGCAGTTGTTAAAACCTCCATTTGCACGGTGGTCAGAACTGTACGGCTTCCAAAGCAAACATAAACCACCGAACGGTCCTCAAGCTTATCGAGCCACGTGGTGAGTAGGTCGCATGAAATAGTGCTGGTCCCGCCTCTTTCTTCCGGTTCATTCGAACCGGGTTCAGTTGGCATAACTGGACCCACCGCCCAAACTCTAGCATGACCCAGTTCTTTCTTTAAATGATCAAAGTAAGATGGTTCCAAATCAAGGAAGGAGTTGAAAACGACACCCCAAGCTTCAAGATTTAAGCGGAAATCGTTATTTATGATCTCCAATTCTGGTTGTGGTTCCCCTTTCTTTTCCTTAAACATTGAGGTGATTTGCCACGAGGGGTAAAATGGAGAATTCGGAAGAGTTGGGAAGGAAACAACAGAATCTGGGTCATCGGTGTTATCATTTTGGAGTAGGTCTATGTCACGCCATAAAGAGAAGCAGATTGAGAGCGTGGAAGCACCAGTGGGAGAGAAGAGTAGGCGCGGCACGTGGAGGTCACGTGCGAGAAGGTGAGCCCAGCCAAGGAAGAAGTCAGAGATGATAGCTGAAGGGGGTGAAGGGTGGGTCCGGGCCCAGTGAAGGAGAATCGGGTAATGGTGCTGGCGCATGAAAGAGAGGATGGAAATGAGCCTGTTTTGGTTTGGGTTTGGGAAATGAGGTTGGGGGAGAAGGAAGGTTTGGAGAAGAGGGGAATAGTTTGTAGGGACAAGGTTTTGGGTTGATGGAGTTACCAAAACGGTGACGTGTATGTTGTGAGAGACTAGGATTTTGGAGAGGTCGATGAGGGGAATTACGTGACCAGAAGAGGGGAATGGGTATGCAAGGAGGTGGGTTTCTACTGTATTGGACATGATGGATTTCGTATCACACTTCTTCCAAATGGGTTAGAAGAATTCAAGGAGTTAATGTTTCATACTCTTGTACCTATAACACAGCTTCTTCTTATATAATGGAAAGTATAGAGTGAGGAGAATCTTAAGACTAGGAAACAAGTTTTTCTTTTTCTTAAAATTGATGATAAGTTTAATATATTTAATAAATTATGTATTTAGACAATATATTATTCAAATATATTATTTATAATTACTTTTTAATATATTATTTAAATGCATTATTTATTTATAAAATAAAATTTATTTTTTAGATATATTAAATAAATAACATATTTAAATAATATTTAAATATATTATTTATTGAATGTATGTGAGAAATGAATTTTTTATCATAAATGAGAAAGAGAGAGTAGTTTTCTTTTGACATAGCGGGTTATTAATTTATACGCGGATATCAAAATATTCTCACTTTTACTTTCGTCGTCAAGTTGCTTAGTTATATTCATTTATTAATATAAAATGATATTTAATTCAATATTTCATCTATTCGAAAATGGTGAACTTTTTAGACTCTGTAATTGAATATTTTAAAAGGTGACATTTAATATGGACATGATCAACATAGTTTTAAGAATTTTTTTTATAAAAATAATTAAGTTTTAAAGTTTTATTATCAAATTAATTAACTTTTTTCAATAATTTTTAATTTAATTATGTTTCAAAAAAAGTAAATTGAAAAAGAGGCGTCATATATATTGACGTTTCTTATATTTTTTCAAATTTTGTAATTATTTATAAACTTTCTTAACAGATTTGATATTATCTTCGAACTTATTTACAAATTTACTTGTAGAAAAATAATTTATAAGTAAATTCACAAGTAAATTAAAAGAATATTAAATATGTAGAAAAATTCGTAGATAAATAGAAAAAACTGAAAAACTTTATTATAAAAAAAAATGATTAGATTAAGAATTATTAGATAAAATTGATTAATTTGATAATAAAACTTGATTATTATAAAAAAAATCAGTTTCAATCCACCATAATTCATTCAAACTATTTTAATACCAGTTATTAAAAAAGTTACCTGCCATATAAGTTATATTTATGATTATTTTTATGTATTTCTGTAAAACATATATTTTTCACATTAAATAATACTAATAATTGAATAACACAGATATTTAATATTTTAAAATTAATAAAAATTGTGAGTTTTATTTTTATTCAATATATGTAATCAATTCTTTCTTTTCTGGTTTAGTCCAAAATTTTAAAATAATTTAATCTCAAAAAAAATTATTTGTGTACTTATCAAAAAGTATATGTATTGTTAGAACAAAAAGTGCTTTTAGACAAATCCTTAGGTTGATAATAACAAAAATATATTATAAGAAATTATCTATGCTCCAAGTTTATGATGTGTAGAAAAATGTTTTTAGCTTATCAACGCTAAATAACGTCATCAGAAAAGTCATATTAAAAGATCAGAAGCATTTGTATAGAACTTCAGAAAGAAAGGACAACATGCAACGTTGGTCAGAATTCTCATTTTGATTATGAAGAAAGGATAACATACAAAGCATAAAAAATATTACTTCTATTTCTGAACGAATCTATTATCTGATGAAACAAGAACTTTATTCTTAGAATGTTGACTCCAGAAACATCAAATCATCAGAAGTATCAAAGACTCTATATCAGACTTTATATCAGAAGCATCACAAACATCAATACGATATCTTAACAATGTTTCTGACAAATAGAGTATACTTAGTCAATACGATTTCTATACAATGATGAGTGTCATAAAAGGCACAGATTCTCCCTCATTAATGGAGAAACATAAAAGGAATATTTATAGTGCTTCTTCCTTATTTGCTTCAACATACTCTTTTTGAAGGCCTATATAAAGAGCACATCATCATCACGAAAACTATCAAGAAAAATATAGAGCACAAAGTTCAAAAGAAACAGTCATACTTTAGTGTTCATATATTGTTTTAATTTGTGTTTATTCTGCTTATCAAAGAAGCAAGATATAAACTTTTCATTGTAATTTTCAAACTGTTGTTTTTCCTCAAGTGACTTTCTAGTTTGTATATTTGAGAGGGCTAAGGTGTCTTTCTAGACTCTTACAGGTTGTTTGTAATATTTCAAGATTAGTGGATTAAGACATTTTCAAAGGTGAAATCACCTTGGCGGGTGAACAAGATGTAACCTTATTCTTAAGGAGAACTTGTATAAAAATAACTGTGTTATGTTTAACTTTCATTGTACTTATTATTCAACTATGTGTTGAGTAGCCAAACTGTTTTGCAAAATATTTTAAAAACCTAATTCAAACCCCCCTTCTTGTGTTTTTCTCTACCTTCAATTGGTATCAGAGCTTCGGCTCTGTTATTGATTTTCAAATCAAGCACTTAACCGTGTAGAGAGATTCAGAGTGAGAAATTTTTTAATGACTTATACCAGCACAAATGAAAAAGATAGTTACAATGCTAAGCCTCATATCTTTGATGGAGAAAAATTCGATTACTGGAAAGATAGATTAGAAAGTTTCTTTATAGGCTATGATATGGATCTCTGGGATATTATCATAGACGACTACACTGCACCTATCTCAGCAGAAGGTGTCCCCATTCCCAGAAGCAAAATGACTGAAGCACATAAACAACAATTCAAGAAGTACCACAATGCCAGAACAATCCTTCTCGGTGCCATCTCATATAATGAATAGAAGAAGGTCACAAATAGAGAAACAACAAAGGACATTTTTTATTCTCTCAGAATGACTCGTGAAGGAAATGCGCAAGTCAAAGAAACAAAAGCATTATCTCTAATATAGAAGTATGAAGCATTCAAAATGGAAGATGACAAAAACATCAAAACTATGTTCTCCAGATTTCAAACCCTTGTAGTTGGACTTGAAGTTTTGAACAAAGGTTACACCACTGCAGACCATGTTAAGAGAATAGTCAGAAGCCTTCCAAAGAAATGGAGACCTGTGGTCACAACACTTAAGCTTGCCAAAAATCTGGACACCATCAGCCTCGAAGAATTGGTTAGCTCCCTCAAAAGTCACGAAATTGAACTAGAAGGAGATGAACCTCAGAAACGAGTAAAGACCATTGCTTTAAAGTCCAAATCAAAAAGAGTAAAGTTCATAAAGAACAAAGCCTTTCAAGCCAAAGAAGAAAGTAAAGAAAGATTTGATGATGAAGACTCTAATGAGGAGGATGAATTATCTCTAGTTTCTAGAAAAATCAAGCAAATATGGAAGAGAAGACAAAAAACCCTAGAAGATTCAGAAATCGAGGAGATTGTTCAGAAACATTATCAAATGGTAAAAATAGAAAAGAAGTAACATGTTATGAATGTAAGGAACCTGGACATTACAGGAATGTTTGTCCCAAGATGAACAATGAAAATTCCAGAAAATAATACTTCAAAAAGAACTCTTTCAGAGATAAGAAGAAAGGTATTATGGCAACATGGGATGACTCTGACACATCAAAGTCTGACTCAGAGGAAGAACATGCAAATGTGGCTTTTATGGCTACTATATCTGATGGAAGTTCAACTGAAATAGAGTCTGACTCTGAAGAAGTATTTTCCAATTTCTCTCGTGCTGAATTAGAATCATGTGTTTCTGAATCATTAAGTAGATATCAAAAACTTCGAAGAAAATTCAAAACCTGCAAAAGGTTAATGAAATTGAGATCGAAGAATATAGTAAACTTGAGAAGGAAATCAATTTTGAAAAATCTAATAATGCTAAGTTAAAAGAAGAAATTGATTTGCTAAATAACAAGGTTCTGAACCTTGAATAAACAGTGTCTAAAGAAACACCATCATATGAGGCAACAATATGCAAATATGATGATGCATTCCAAAAGTTTATGAAGAACAACATAGATAGAAGAAAAATGGCTTTATGATCTATGGTGTTGGTCATAACGGAAAGAAAGGAATTGGTTACAATTTTTTAGAAAATCACCCTTTAAAAGAAAACAAACCAATATCTCATTTATCTTATCACCATACAAAATCACAGACACAAAAATTCAATGTTGCATGAAAACCTATGTTCTCTAAGAACTCTGGTAAAAGTAATTCAAAAGGCCCCAAGAAAATTTGGGTACCAAAGGATAAAATAGTCTATGTTGCCGATATCTTACATAGTAGAGTTAAAACACCAGTCGTGGTACCTGGACTCTGGATGCTCACGACACATGACGAGAAGAAAACATATGTTCCAAGAGTTGGAACTTAAAGATGCTGGATATATAGGTTTCGGAGGAAACTAGAAAGTAAAGATCAAAGGATCAGGAATTATTGGTAATGGATCTTGTTGTACCCCAAAATTTTCCCTCTCATTTATCAAGACTTTTCTCACAAGGTTTCTTTGACTCAAGACTGGATTAGGGTTTGGTAAGCTCAAGGCATATCATCTTGCACTGATGACCCAAAATTAGGGTTTGAGGTTGCACAAGGATTTTTGGACTATCAATGCTTCATGTTACTTTCAAACATCATTATGGATCCCTAAGATCACTCAGGACAAGTTTCAAGCTTTGAACTATATTTTTGATTAGTCAATTGGACAGTTGACCTAAAAATCAGTTGTATTGGGGAAAAAGTCAATCATGGCCAATTCACAGTCAAATTTCATAATTCTTGATCCACATAAACATTTTAAGCTTATATGTATCATTTGGTCAAGTTTGGATCACAATTCCTCAAGAAGTTTGATCAAATCACCAAAAGGGCAAAATGGTCAAAATTAGGGTTTTGATTGAGGAAGGACAATTTCTGATTTTTGACTTAGCAATTGACCAATTGAGGTGAAGCATGATTTCAAGGATTAAATTGCATCATCTTGACCTAATTACATAGCTCAAAACATTTCAATTTCATTGGATTGACAAATGAAATTTGCAGTCAACTGATCAAAAGTCAATTGTATACTGAAAAGTCAAACTTTGACTTTTTGGTCAAAATCAAGTGCCAAG